AACAGGGGGGCATGGCTTCCCACACCTGTGGACACACCTGGTTCCAGAAGACCTGTGTAGCAGGTCTCCAGCCGAAGATCCCCCAGTTGAGGGTGACCCCCTGACCTTATGGGTAGAGTCTTGCTCACCCCGGTCTTATGTAATGATGTCTTTCCCAACCATCCTTAAAACCACCCTGTGACATAAGCAAACATGAGCCTTCATCTGCCCCAGCGGCTGGTAGATAAGAGTTTACCAAGCTCCTGCTAAGGGATAGGCACTTTCAGGCATGATCTCACTGAATTATGCTGACCATCCTGCAAGGCAGCATTTGCCACTGCATTTTAAAAAACCAAGGTACAATTCACATGCCATCCAATGCATCATTTTAAAGTGCATAATCAGTGGTTTTTAGTGTATTCACAAGATTGTGCTACCATCACCACTACCTAATTCAGAAACATTTTATCACCGCAAAAGAAACCCTGCACCCATTAGCTATCATTTCCCATCCCCAGACCCTCCAGACCCTGGCAGCCACTAATCTACTTTCTGTCTCTATAGATATACTATACTGGACATTTCATATACAGGGACTCATGTGGTCTTTCGTGACTGGCTACTTTCACTTAGCATAATATTTTTGAGGTTCACCCCCATTGTAGCATACGTCAATACTTCAATACTTTTCATGGCTGAATAATATTCTCTTGAATGGATAGACCACTTTTTTTTTTATAGTGACTTAAGGCAAAACATTTATCTTGTACTTCTATAGGCCAGAAATTCAAAATAACGTTCACTAGGCTAAAAATCAAGGTATATGAAGGGCTGGGTTCCTTCCAGAAGCTCTAAAGACCACAGGTTTTTTTGTTTGTTTGTTTTTCAAAATTTTATTGGGAAATTGGGGGAGGGGAACAGCGTTGGGGAATCAGGGAAGGGGAACTGACAAGTTGCTGTCCTTTTGTTCTTCAGTTTAGTTGTGGAGGACGTCGCTTCACTGGCCCATGTTGGTATTATCATTGCGCTCTTCCTGGGTGAGGCAGTCGCTTGTCAGCCATTGGACGGCCACTCACAGTGGCTCACGGCAGCTCACGAAAACTCATGCCCGCTGCCGGCCAGCCCCACTGCAGCCTATGTCATCACTGGCAACTCATGGCAGCCCAGCTCCAGATCAAGCTGTTGTTCATCATCTTAGCTGTAGAGGGCTCAGCGTCACTGGCTCTCATGTGGGATCCAAACCAGGGCCCTGCTGCTCACAGCTGGCGTCCCAAGCCAACTCCTAACCAACGCGCCACTTGGCCGGCCCAAGACCACAGTTTTTTAAAATCCATTTTTTGTTGATGGACATTTGGGTTGCTTCCACTTTTTGGCTAATATAAATAAATGCTTTTATGAATATTTGTGTGCAAGTCTTTGTGTAAACATACATTTTCAATTCTCTTGGGTATGTATCTAGGTGTGGGACAGTTGGGTGACTGACATCCCTATGTTTAACCACCTGAGGAACTGCCAGACGTAGCTGCACCTTTGTACATTCCCACCAACAGGGTACCAAGGCTCAGATTTCTCCATGTTCTCGCCATGTTATTGTCTGTCTTTGATGACAGCCATCCTTGTGGGTGTGAAGTGGTATCTCATTGTGGTTTTGATTTGCATTTCCCTTTTGGCTAATGATGTTGAGCATCTTTTCATGTACTTATTGGCCACTTGTCTCTCTGTTTTGGAGAAATGTCTATTCAAACCCTTTGCCCATTTTTGAATTGGGTTGTTTGCCTCTTGATTGTTAAGTTGTACTACTGTCATCTACAGAGGGGAAACTGAGGCTCAGAAAGGGGATGTGACTGGGCCAAGAATACTGAGTTCACAAGCGGATTGGTCTCCTCCTTTCACCCAGCAGGTCAGGGGCCACCATCTTTCCACCCAGTGGACCAGAGGAGCGGCCTGCAATTTTGACCTGTCACCCAGACCACCCCAGGTTCTATCCTTGCATTTAAAGGCCCCACAGCCAGAGGTTGGGCCAGAAAGTGAGGAAGCAATAGTTCTGAGGAACCAAGCTGGTCCGCTCTTCCCCTCCAAATCACGCGGAACTGGCTGACGTGGCCCCGGGAAGAGGGGACAGCCCGGGTGCTGTGGTTGGGGAGCCTATTTATACTGGCTGGGCCGTGTTGCAAGCTTTTCCTGCTGGCGAGAGGGACGTCACTGGGTGCTGACCTCACCAGAAATGCTGACGCATCTTCGCATCTTCGCTATACACTTTGATTGAATGGGCAGCCAGGCCTCCTCACCATGGGGCCACTTCCTGTCCTCCTGCCCATCAGTGCCCCCTCTCACCCATCTCTGGAGTCTCCCCCAGTGTCCGCACTTCCTGCAGTCCTCCAACCACACCCCCTTCTTATAAGCTGTTATGGGCTGAACAGTGTCCCTCTAATTCATATGTTAGTTGATGTCCAAACCCCTAGTCCCTCAGAACGTGACTATTTGGAGATGGGGCCTTTAAAGAGGTAATTAAGGTAAAATGAGCTCACATAGATGGTCCTAATCCAGTATGACTGGTGTCTTTATAAGAAGAGGAGATTAGGACAGACACATGTGGACCAAGAGAGGACCTTGTGAGGAGATAATGAGAAGGTGGCCATCTGCAAATCAAGGAGAGGCCTCAGGATGAAATTGACCCTGATGACACCTTAATCTCAGACTTGTAGCTCCAGGACTGTGAGAAAATACATTTCTTTTATGTAAGCCACCCAGTCTGGTATTTTGGTACTGCAGCTCGAGCAAACCAATATATAAGCCCTCGTCCCTGGGGCCTGCTCAGGCACCTCGATGAGCCACGTGCTCAGACTATGGTCTTTTAGTTTCAACAGCCCTGGTTTGAGTGCCCTGCTCCTCTTCAATGTTCCCACGTAGGGGGACCTCAGGTAGGGCAACTTCACATCTCTGGGCCTCAGAGGGCTCTTTAAACTAAGGAGACCATCGGCCTCTCTGGACTATGGGGAGGGGAGAACAAGGTAAAGCGCATGGCTGTCCCCCGAGTGTGGAGGTTGGTCCGTAGCAGCTGAGAGGGGCAAGAAGCTCTCCAGCCAGACCTGCTTCTTCTGCCTGGAGCCAGGCCCTGAGCTTCTCTGAATTTTAGTTTCCTTACTAAAGGGAGCCAATGCATCCTTGCCAGCCATTCCCCCTCCCAGGACTGTTGCTAGATGAAATCAGGGATGTGAAATGAAGAAGGCATGGGCAGAGGAAGCAGCCTTGCGGGGGTGGGCACAGAGAGGAGGAATTTAGCGGAAGCGACATTCTCAGGAGGAGAATCCAGAACTGACCTTCGTGGGTGGCGATGGTGGGGTGATTGGGCATGGTGTAGTAAGTGCTGTGCTTGGGTGCTAGGGAGTGGGTAGAGGATGAGACACATGGGCATGGGGGTGTGTCTGGTTTTACCTACTGCTGGATCCTCAGCACTTGGGTTTGGCTGGCACTGAGTAGGGGCAAATAAAAATTTGATGATTGATGGTGGGATTTTCTACAGAGGGGATAGCAGATGGAAACAGCCTTAATGGTCATGATGGGTGCCAGGGGCGGGAACGAACAGGAAGGCATCTGGCCCTGGCCACCTTGGCTTTCCTAGTCTAGGCTCCACAGGCCCAATTCTCTCCCCAGCTGGAATAGCTCGGGTCTCCCTGGCAGCCCCCCCGCACCCTGGCTCCCCAGCCTTCTGACACCCTCCTCCCTGCCAGGCTCCTGAGGGTGCAGGCCAATGACCCTTTCAGGCTTGATAGATGTGCTGGGGCCACGGGGAATGGCCTGTAGGCCTGGGCCAGCTCCTCTACCTCTTGGTCTGCCCTTGCTTAGGCCTCAGTTTACCCCACTGTGAAGTAGCTGGTTGACAAGGGAAGCATTGTCTCCGGGGCCTGTTCATTCTGATGTTCAGAGATCTGTGAGACACAGAGGACCAACCCATGATCACTATCTTTGAAAGTGAAACCTGGTCCCCAACCGTCACCACGGTGACTCCCCCTCTCCGGCTTCCCCTCTGAGCTCACAGCTTCCCCATCTCCTCCACTCCCCATCTCACACCCCCGACAGCTAGTACTTGGAATTAGACTTTTGTATCTTTCATTTTTCCTTCAAAGAACTTTTGCGTTTTGTGTCCATGAAGGTAGCAGCCCTGTGAAGTAGGCTAGGGAATACTTTTTTTAATTCTCATTTTACAGGTAGGGCCTCTGAGACCCAGAGAGATTAAACAACTTGCCTCAGGTCACACAGCTTGTCAGTGGGCTTGAACCCTGATCTCCTGTTTCTCTTGCTCCATGTACCTGATTTTTCCCAGAGAACCCTGTCTGTAGAGAAAGGGACTGGCTGTGGCAATGGGCCTGGGATGGGGAAGGCTGCTTGTGTGGAAGGTGCTTGGTGGGGGCAGGAGACAGCCAGGAGCTCTACTGGGGGATGCGGGTCCTGGGGCCAGAACCACAATCTCGGGGCTGCCAGCCTGGGTCTGGCTCTGTGCCCAGAGCCCGGTGGTTTCTGCTCACAGATGTCCTAACAGCCCCAGCAGGAGGGCGGGAAGGACATTCAAGAAGGAAGATGTCTCACTCCCCTCAGCCCCAAACCACAGCGGCCTGTGAGGCTGAGGGCTCCTGGGCTGAGAGTGACCTGCGGGCCATCAAGGGGCCTGGCTGGCAGATTCTTCCTTCTATTCCCGGCGTAGCGCCCTACAGATGGCACGGACCCCCTCGCTCCCTGTTCACTGCAGGAAGGCTGAGTGAGGCTGTAGTTTGCATCATCCTTGGGCGTGGGGGTGACCTCGAAGAACGAATTCGAAGAAAACAGGAGGAGGAGCAGGCATGCCACCATACCCAGCACTCATTGGCCGCCCGTGGAAACTTTGGTTTTTGGGGTCATGTTCCCAGAAGGCCTGCCCTCCCCCTTCCCCCTCCCCACCCACCTCACGAGGTGTTGGCCAATCACTCCGGCAGGCAATAAAGTGGCTGTCAGCCCGCAGGGCACCCAGCCTGGAGGTGTCATCCCCAGTAGGCGAGGGCTGGAGCTTGGACACCCAGCATGCAGGCACAGCTTACTTGGAGGATACTGCTCAGTAAGTATTTCCTTCCTCCCCACTAGCACCTACTTGCTGTGCCTCCAGGTGCCAGTGAGGAGCAGGGGTACCCTCTGTCCTCTGGGAGCTGGGAAGATTGGGCACTAGACAGAAGGATGCTGAGATGGAAAGAGAGCCAGGAGGTCAGGCAAAGAAAGGGGTCCACTGAGAACACAGCAACTTCACTGGGTAGAGGAGGGGTATCCCCGGAGGGCTTCCAGGGGTAGGCGATGTAGAGGCAACTCTGGGCGCCAGGGAGTAAGGGAAGGGGACGGATTAGGGGAGAAGCTGGGGAAGCAGGAGGGAGGTGGGAGTTGTGCTGCTTAGAGGAGGAAGCTGCAGAAGCTGAGCAGAAAAATGGGGTAATGTCTGGAGGGGACTCCTTTTTGCCTCAGTTCGCAGGGTCCGGGATGAATAGACACAGTCAGCCAGGCCTGGGGACCCTGGAGCCCACACAAATCACACAGCACACATAGCCACACCCACAGGGTGACACACACACAGAGCCATGTGACATCATTCAAAGCCCTCAATCTCACCAACCTGGGAACCCCCACATGCAGCCTGGAGTCCCCACAGTGGATGGGGCTCCCTTAAGCCTCACACAGACCTGGACACACACCAGGCAGACACCCTGGTCCCACATGTACACTCACATGGGCAGCAGATACCTAGGGAGGTGGCGAGGGGTGCCCTGTGGTTGCTGTCCCTGGGCGCCCAGCCCCTCTGCCCTCCCCAGTAGCTTCTTCCCCAAGGTCCCGAACGGTTCTTAGGAACGGAACATGGTGTCACTGCCTTCCGGGCCATTGCACCACAGGCCCCTTCCGACCACGTGGCTGCTGGGTGGGGGGCGGGGAGGGAGGCAGGCAAGCGGTAACTGTGCCCAGCCCCTGGAACATTCTGACAGGCTCACAGCATCCCTGGTGGGCCTGACCAGAAGTGGGGAGAGGAGGGAAGCTCAAGGTCGGGGAACAGGCTGGCGCTGCATGACCTGGGCAACCCGTTTTCAGTGCCTTGGTTTTCCTGTCAGTAAAATGGGGGCACGAGCTGAATGACCTCGCACTTCCTTTCCAGATGGAACCTTTGGATGGTTCCTCAGACAGTTCGGGGCACCAGGCTGCCCACCCTGAAGCCCTCTTGAGCTCACCTGCATACCTGCATGGAGGGCCAGGGTCCTGTGGCAGTAGCTATCCCTTAACTCAGAGGTCTTGCAGACAGCAGCCCCACCTGGGCCACCGCATGTCAGCTCCTGAGGTTGGCGGGATTGGCAGGCACAGGAGCCCCAGCCGGGCCCCACAACCTCCCCTCAAAGGCTTACTTGGTGAATCACAGCGGTTGTTTTAGGTTCTGGGCAGTAACTCACTGGACAGGTAGCAGTGGCCCCAGCAGGTGCTCTTGTGCATAGGCAGCGCCCAGTCCCACCCTCCACAGCACAAAGCCTGGGATGACGGGCGGCACCCCTTCAAGGCCCTCTTGAGTGCCCTTTCCTCTGAAAGCCACCTACTGTGAATTCCTCACCAAATCAGGTGACACCCCCTTTCTCTGCCCCAGGTCTGGTCCTCAGACTCCTGTTCCTGAAGCCAGTGGCCACGGGTAGCTGCTTGAGTGATGCCCAAGAGCTCATCAAGCAGCTCCAGCATCAGGCGGACATCATGCAGGACACCAGCAGGCTGCTGGACCCCTATGTGAGTGCCGGGCCTCTGGTGGCCCCTGAGTCTCAGAGAACTTGGGAGGTAGGGCAGCAGTAAACTCCAGAGAGGATCAGGCCCAACCCCCACCTGCCTAACTCCCACTCAATATGGGGGTGGGGGTGGGGAAACCGAGTCCCCGTGTGATCCCAGGCCCACCTCTAGTATCCCAGGCCCAACCCTGAGACCATACAGCTTCCCTAGCTCAGTGGGCCTCGAGTGTGGACCCAAACCCCATTGCCTCTTCCCTCCGTTTGTTCAGCATGCTTATTGCACACCTACCACGTGCCATGTTCTGGGCCCTAGAGATGGAGCAAAACAGAGGCCTGCCCTCCTGTAGCTCATGGTCACCTTCCTACTGACACTCCCTACACCACACTTGCTGCCTGTGTGGTCACCCCCACCAGGCCCCATATATCCCCCTGACCCTGCCTGCAGTGACGGTGTGTGAGGGGAGAGTCCTCTCCCCTCCTGGGCCTCAGTTTCTGGATCTGTATAATGGGAGGATTAAACAGAGGATGGATGAGGTTGAGTGATTCAAGGCTAATTAGAGCACACTTGTCTGTGTGTGTGTGTGTGTTGTGGGGGCTCCAGCACTCACCGCTTGATTCTCCCCCCACCCACCCCCCAGATGCGCATCCAAGGCCTGGACGTGCCTGGACTGAAAGAGTACTGCCAAGAGCGCCCCGGGGTCTTTCCCAAAGAGAATGCCCTGCTTGGGATCGGCAGGAGGAGGAGCTTCCTGCAGACCCTCAATGCTAAGCTGGGCCACATCCTACACAGACTGACCACTTTCCAGCTGGAACTCCCTGAAGTCCAGGACTTTGTGACAGCGAAGATGTATATCTATGGGATCAGGAACAACATCTACTGCCTGGCCCAGCTGCTTCCAGGCTCCTCTGAGACAGCTGAACCCACTCAGGCAGGCTCGGGGGTCTCGCCGCCACCTACCCCTGCATCAGACACCTTTCAGCGCAAGTTAGAGGGCTGCCAGTTCCTGCGTGGCTACCACCGCTTCATGCACTCAGTAGGGCAGGTCTTCCACAAGTGGAGGGAGAGTCCCAGCCGGAGCCGGAGACACAGCCCCCGCTGGGCCCTGCAGAAGGGGGCTCGCAAGATGCAACCCTCCATGAGGGGCAAGAGACTCGTGACAAGGGGGCAGCTGCCCCGGTAGCCTTAGGGGGCGCCCCAGCAGTGCCCCTTAGGATGGCACAGCCTTCCCTAGGCCTTTAAGCCCGCTCCCTTGACTTCCCCACCTCTCAGAAGTGCACTTTAAGGGGTAAGGGCCAGCCCAGCTCCTCTACCTCCTCCCAGGCTGGGGGGATAGGATCAGGCCATTGCTCCCCCCAGCCCTAAGTTCCCCAGACCCAGTGGGGTGGCTGGGTCAGGCCACGCGGGGCCAACTTTCCATTGATTCAGGGGTCTGATGACATAGGCTGACTCATGGTGAGACTGACCGCCCCCCCTTGCTCTGCTCGCCAGAGGCCAGCCGGCCCTTCCCTCTCATGACTTGCAGAGCTGTTGCCCCCAGACTTCCTCCTTTCCATGGTAGGCATGGTTCCGAGGGGGAGGTCAAGGCCTGAGCTGGCCTCCTATGCCTCATTGCCAGTCTCAGACCAGACACCTGGACTGGACGTCTGGGTGACCTCACTTTAAACAGCTGTGACAGGGGCAGAGTGTCCTAGAAGAAGCACTGATCTGGGGGGTCCAAAGAATGGGGCTCAGCTCCCAGCTTGGCCTCTAACTCCCTGTGTGGCCTCGGGCAAGCCACTTTACCTCTCTGGACTTCAGTTTTCTCTTTGTGAATTGAGGGATTTGGGGACCGTGTAAAGCCCTCTCTGCCTGTCAGTTGCTGGGACTCTGTGACATGGGGAGATTGTAAATTCTTTCCATAAATTGGTACAGGCGGTGTGAATGGACAAGGGTGCAGACTGAGCGTTTTGCAGACCTTCCAGGGCCCGGAAGTCCCTGGTCTTGGGTTCTGGCTGCTGACTGCTCCCCCTGGTGGTGGAGTTTTCTCACGCTGAAACCATTGTCCTGGAGGGTTCCTAAAGGCTGCTGGGCCAATTCCTTGGAGGGATATGATTAATTTATCAATTTTTATCAGTTTTTATCTGTTTTTTATTTATAAGGCTTATTTATGATGTGTATTTAATGTTAATATTGTGTCAACATGTATTTAAAACTTGCCTGGTTTCTAAAGCCCCTGAGTCTCACTGTTACCTTGTGAGAGGGGATTTGGGGGAGGCTGGCCTCTTGGCAGTGTGTGTGTGGGGGGTCCCTAGGTGGCAAGACCACAAGTGTCTACCACCTGAGGACTGGGCTGGAGGTCCTTGCCCTATCCAGGAAGGGAAGTCTCATGTCCCAGTCTGACTGTGGGGGCGTCTCGAACACAGACAAGGCATTTGTTGTGTCTGAATGGGTCTCCCTTGAGACACCAGGGATTTGTGAGCACGAGGGGACAGATGCAGACTGGAGTGTCTGGGTTGCTTTGGCCCCTGTGGGTGTGTGGCTTGGGCACGTGTGCTGGGGTGTATTGCATGAAACGAACAAGGTAATAATAGATGCTGCCTCAGACATGGCCCGTGAATTGAAACTGCTCCCTGAAGGGCCTCAGGGGGTGGGGATTCCATCTGGCCCCCAGAAAATTGGGCTGCCTCTGATGCTCAGGGCCCCACCTCAGGAGGGGCACCACCTGTATGCCGATGGATGATGTGCTGAGGCAGCAGCTATAACGGAAGAGCTAACGGAAGCAAGATGAACTTGACCTGGATCAGTCCCTGGCTATGTCCACTTCCTAGGATTGGGGGCCAAGGTGGGAACAAGGCATAACATCAGAGGCGGAGGAGAGCCATGTTCCACTTGGCAGATGAGAAAACTGATGAGGCTCAGAGAATTTGAGTCACCTGGATAATACGGCCTCAGAGCAAATTTATTGTGTGAGCACATTTTAAATTCAGGTCAGTTAGATGCCAGGACAGGAGTATCTTCTTGTATTCTTCAGCCTCTATAACTCATCCGACAATTTCATGAGTCCCTGAGGGCACAGAGCTCCCAGGTGGGGGGACAGACAGATAACACACAAGCAAAAGTACTAACAGGATCATCTGAGATTGCAGTACAAGCTTGACAAAGTAGAGAGTGAGAGACTCAGGCAACATGGGTGGTCAGGATGGCATCTGGAAGAGGTGACAACCACTCTGTAGTCTGAAGAATGCAGGGGAAGGGTTGGTGCCTCCAGAGGGCACACGGTTAGGGCAAAGGCTCCGAACATTCAAGGATCAGAGTTATCAAAAAGGCTCAGAGAGAGAAAGTGTCTTGCTCAAGACCACAGAGCCAGTTAGCCAGAGAGCTCTAGGCTGGGGCTAGAACTCGCAGCCCTTGATTCCCAACCAGCAGTCTTCCTGAGCAGCTGCCCAAAGTATTCCAGACTATTCACCAGGTATCTAGGAAGGGCTCTCTACTGCCCCCAACTGGGCTTCCTCTTGTACTCCGGCTCCTGCCATACTGGCCACTTTTGGGTTTCTGAAATGCCCCAGGGCTCTCTCCTCCTACAAAGCTTCCACCTATGCTGTTCCTTTTGTCTGGAATGCTGTTCCCTGTTATATTTGTGAGTGCATCCTCAACAATTCTTCCCCAGTGCCCATGGTCTGGGTCCAGCAACTTGGCTATTTGTTCTCTCAAAACTGCCCCATTGGGGGCCCTCGCCGGTATGACGGTTGCATTACTGTCCTCCCTCACTAGCCTAGAGCTACTGAGGATGGAGGCTGAATCGGCTTCCCTCTGCTCTGTCCCAGCACCAACACAGTGCCTGCACCTGGTATGAGCTCAATGAGGAACAAGGCAGAAGGAGCCCTGGAGGAAGTCAAAGCACTGAGAAGCATGCCAGGCAGCCTGGCCCAGACAGGTGCTGCCAACAGCAGGGAGCTTTTTTTCTTCCCTGCCCCAGCATGGGGGTGGGGGGGGGGCTTTCCTTGGGCTGAGCTGCTGGGAAGCTGTGGGCGTGAGGTGGTAGACACCGAAAGCCAGGCAAGCTCAGGTTCTCAGAGCGGAAGAGGAGCTGGCGCCTGTGGCGGCTGTGCGGTTGCCCACGGAGAGGGCAGAGGTTGGTCTGCGAGAAAGAGCTGGGAAGCCCAGGGCGGCTGCTCCTCACCCCTGACTGGGCCCCTTGCCAGCCTCCTGCTTTGTGGATAAGCCCCAAGAGAGGGTCTGGGGCTGGCTTTGAGCTGGAGCAGCACCCACCCTGCAGGAAGCAGATCAAGAATCTCCAGACTCTGGGGCAAGGGTCACGGTGGTCCCACCTGTGAGGATTTGTCACCTCCATGCTGTCTCCTGATGAGACCACAGCTGCAGGTGCTCCCAAACCACCATCTCCAGCCTGATTTTCTCCCAAGTCTAGATCCACAGGCTCAGCTGCCAGGAACACCCATGGGTACCTCAAGGCCGAACTCACCCCCAACCCCACAACTTTCTGCCTCCTAT